GTGTTAGGACCACTCACCGACACTCCTCCACCCTGAGGATGCAGCGGTTAAGGTAGGTGGAGAGTGTTAGAAACACTCACCGGCACTCCTCCACCCTGAGGATGCAGCGGTTAAGGTAGGTGCGGCCGTCGGAGCCACACACGGGATCGTAGGTGTTGGCGCAGCGATGCTTGCACGACGCGCCGCGCGATCGTTCGCACTTGGCGGGATCCACGACGAAGACGCCTGCTTCACAGACACTTGATTATCAGTTTGCTATTGGGTATTGGGTATCAATTTAGTAATGATTATGAAAAGTAAGCGATTAAGTAAGCTTAATTTTTACTAGGTAATAAGTAAGGGGTTTACTAAGCGATTTAAGTTAACTAACGGAAAACGGAAAATAGCAATAGCTTTCAGGAGATGAATTTAATAAATTTTGTATTCATGTTAAACTAATTAATATGATAATTTAAAAAACAATAAAATCTGACCTTGCCCACAGTTGAGTCTCTTGAGGTCACAGGTGCTGGTGTAAATAATGCCGTCACTGCCACACACGGGAGCCATCTTGTTGCTGCAGTCCACGTTACAGATCTGCCGGCCCCTGACCCGACCGTGACCCATACCTGGTCACGAGGAGAAAAATATTGTATGTACAAACCTGGTGACCGGAGGCAGTACTATGAAAAATAATTAAGAGATCTTAATTCCGCTAGTAAATCTCTGTCGGTTTTACATGCTGAGCTCAACAAAAACAGACGAGAAATCGGTCGCTACGTGTACTTTTGTCGATGCGTGTACTTTTGCTGCTACGTATACGTAATAAGGGCCTATACTTTCAAAAAAAGTTAAGAGATCGTAAGTTCATCAGCCAATCTTTGACGGCCTTTCAAGCAAAATCCACCAATCATAGACAAGAAAATAGATCGTAAATACTTAAGTTCACTGAGCGAGTTCTGAAAGTATGGCGCAAGGACGCTACATTTACGTAGGCCGGTTTACGTTCACTTAAGTAACTACACGTTAATAGTATCATTATAGGCTGAACCTTCTACGTCTTCAAAATGGATCAAGGAAATCAATTGGTGATTGATTTTTTGTTAGCATACTTCCCTTTCGACCTTTTACTAATGGTTCGTGCGAATAAGGCTCAATGGCGATCGCAACCAGTGCATTGCAAAAGTCAGCTCTAGGTTACAGATAAAATATTAAAGTATTCCCAAGCTCATCTGGTCATGAGGGAATAAGTCATCAATTACGAAGAACAATGGCTATAAATTACGTTGAAATCGTCAAATAGTTTAGGTCAATGCTGATTTCGAACAAACTGCAGCAAAGATCTCATGGCTCGCTACAAGAAACAGGCTCCCAGAGTTAGTTTCGAAACGGTCCTGGAAAAACTCGTGGATCTGAACCCACATTCTCACGTTTTTTAAGGAGATCATAAAGGAAAAACGTGGCTCTGTCCATAAAAGTTCTGTCCATGTAGCATTTTCTTTTTGCTCCTGTAAAGTTTGTGTGTATTACAAGAATATTTGTTAAATGATGTCATTGCAACAATTCTATTGTACTGCCAGTAGGAACATGGAAACAAATTTTTTTGAACCATTGCATTGCAGAATGAATTAGTCAAGACAAGTATAAATTTTAGCCAACTTTATGAGCAAATACGTTTATATAATTAATAAAACATGTGCTTTCCGTACAAGTTAATTTTTAAACTCTTTTATCAACTGCTGGACTAACACAAGAAGTAAAAATATTGAACTAGTCGGCTCGGGTCGATCGCGTCGTTGATCGACGTGAATGACTTAAAGTTCAACGTTCACGTTTTTACCTCACAAACCAATTAAGGGAGATACAAATCAATAACTGTATTCACCGTGTGAAATTAAACCCAATCTGCTTCACATCATCAAGCTTGTATATCGATAAAGAGTGAGCAGCTACTCAGCAGCTGATTGATGAATGATGATCTTCGGCGTGAGTAAAATGTTGTCTTGCTGAAGAAATTACCGAGGTCCTTACACTTCAAACTTTCATTACATAATCAAAAATAATATTTCTTGGATAATAGAGGCCATCAACTCAATCCTTCGTAAGAAAGGAAAATCCCCCACCAGTTTAAGCTAGCAGCCGAACGCGACTATATATACTCTGGTCAAAGTTTCTGCAAAAACAGCTTAGCGCACATGACTTTGAACACGTATTTTTTGTTAGATATTCTGCAGATAGAAGTGAATTTTTCCACGTTTCACGTTTATGTTGTTCCGAGGTCCATGAACGAGGTGGAAAGTTGTTCATCATAAAATAGGAAATGAGGGAGATGTTAATTTTTTTCCGTGACCAGGCGCCGTGATTCGGCAAATTTGCGGCGGCCCCACAACGAAGCTCGAGCATCGCAACATAATGAACCGCACTGCTTCCGTCCGTCCCCATAACACATGTGGACGTGTGCACACATGTGGACGTGTGCACACATGTGGACGTGTACACACATGTGGACATGTACACAGATGTGGACGTGTTCACACATGTGGACGTGTATACACATGTTGACGTGTACACACATGTGGACGTGCACACACATGTGGACGTGTAGACATGCGTGAATGTCATGGACGTGCCAGGTCATGTACTATCATTCGTAGTAACCTAAGATAGAATATTTATTTCACTTCCATTAATACTTTTATGATTTATGACACGACTATAATTGGTGCGTCAATAATTTGCATAATTCACTTATTTCAGAGTTAAAAAATGTTTGTACCGCCCTATATTTTCAGCTTTTTCTTCTAGGTTATTCACTCACAAACAATTTCGTGAATATCATCATTCATGTACATGTACATTATTCAAGTATCTGTGCTATTTATATATTCATTTGTACTTTTTCCTTCGACTCCATAACTTTTATTGATTATATTATTTGTCTCTACAATTTCATTAGCTGGCTGCTTATTGATGGGCTACAGAATAAAAGTTGTTGAGAAGCTCGTTAGATTTACAACGCTATAACTAGAAGCTAATTTAGTACAAATTCAATCACTGGGATCGACACGGAAAATCAACCGACAGATGCCCACCGTTCATTTCGAGACTAATTAATAATTGGGAATTCATCATTTTTGATGATTTTAATGATTCACATTATTATCAGTTTATAATTTGCCATGACGTTTAATAAAAAATTTTCATGAACAGTTTTTTGACAGCAACCCTGCTATGAGGAAGCTCCAGAGATATTTGTGAATCTAAATCAGAATCTAATGACTGGGCATCGCTTTATGTTGCGGTGAACCAAATTTTGAAAGCCTTGAATGGCGGCCCCAGCTCTGGGCGCTCTCGGATAATACCATTAAAAGTTCGAGCCTGGGCATGAGCAGTGAACCTGAAATGCCTGCAGCTCAGCAGCCAGCGAAGCGTGTGAAGCAGAGTAGCTCCTTCCTGTCTACTGAGCGAAGAATGACCGCTCCTAGTGAAGCTGCCGCAGGCAAACGGACAATCTTGATTAAAAAGTATTTACAATTATTGGCCGTATAAACATGAATATAAATCCTCGAAAATACATATTCATCATGACAGGCCAGTTCTCACAAAAATCTATAAGGAAGGCCGTCGAAAGAAATAAATCTGATTAATTTATAAATTTATCATTCAAATTTATTTAGCTGATCTCAATGATTTTGTTAAAGTCCTTAGTTAAATAAAATCATGGATGGAAAGACGAGGCATAGATGAAATAACTCACAAAATTGTTTCATCATGTTTTTAGCCTCGATGTTTTTTCATACATAAAAAAGAATGTCTACCAATAGAGCCTTAATTACAATGAATAAATTTGTACTTAGCTGAATCTTAAATGAATCTTAACTTAAGCCTTGCAATGCCCTTAATACCTGCAGAATAAAATAAACCCCTCAGCAATAACGACAAGATTTATTAGTCAGTAAATTTTATCCTGTGGCGTCAACATTCACATAAGTTGGTTGACTTGCTGTGTTTCTATTGGCTTCTTGTTAAAAGATGAATTGATAGATAAATTTACAGACATTATTTCTCAATTTCCATAAAATGAAGCATAATATATGAGTGATTTGCTCTTCTTCTTGCGGCGACAACTGAACATGAGCTCTTAACATGCAAACTGCGCTTACTTCCGAAGAGGCACAGGCTCGACATTCAGGCGCTGTCTTCTTATTGATGAGTTCGAGTCATGACAACTTATGGGCTTCAGCATGACGATGACCAGCGCATTCTACCTAATGGTAACAGCTGAAGCTTGGATGATTGATGAAAAGATATTAAGAGCTGTTCATCTTGTTCGACTTAACCTGTGGTCAATGACCCGTACTTTCTTTCTTCCTGGTTCAATTGCGTCGCCTACATCAGCTCGCCATCATAGTCCTGATGACTTTGAAACTTTTTATCCCTGGTGGCGGATTTTTTGAAGAAATTTGTCTCCACTTCCGTCCAACCAATCTTAGTTGTATCGTGGGTGGCAAAGGTGCGGGTTGCCGACCTAAAAAAAATACATCAATTCGCTCAATGAAGAAACATTTTCGCTTTATTCCGATTTTTTGCCCGGGAAATGACGCGGGTATTTGCAACGCAATGGATGCGGTGGTGCGGTGGCAGACCGCAGTATTTATCTTCAAGATCAGTAATTGTACCCTAAGCCAGAGCCATTATCGAACGATTGTTTTTTAGTACGTTGGTTAAATGAGGTACGGATCGTTAGTGCGTGGTCATGTCATTGTGAGGTCCGATGAGCAATATGTAAGAGTACAAGTTGTTGATCATGCTGTCACCTACCGGGTGGTCCTGTTCGCTAAACAGCAATCTGCCTCTTCTTCGCAAAAACGGCATCATTGCTGGAAGCCGTTTTTGGCCACCCACTCGTAAGTGTCAATTTAAAACGGGAGCATGTAGAGGTACTTGCAGCCATCAAATTCAGCAGCATCAAAATAATGAACAAACTTTAGAAACAGCCACGGTCTCGCGGCATTAATTTCAACGGGGTATATTTTATACAGTAAAAGGCTTCGTATGACAGAACCAGTTACAAATATTCTATGAATGATACAAATATATATATATTACAAATATTCATTTTAAAGGGCATTGAAACTTATCGCTGCATGGTTCCAAAATTTGTTTGCCAATAATAACTGTGTAGATTTCCAGACCTGAGTGCTTTCAACGACTCAACCAAGTATATGAGACATCTAGATATGCTACAACTGATCTTGAGCGCATAGGAAATAACTAACAAAACTAAGTAAAAGCTTCAACTTTATTAAAAAAATTCCTATGATTCAAATATCTTGAATGCGTCAGGTCAGTAAGCGCATAATAATAATAAAACATGGAAAAATGTCAAATTTTCATTTAAAAAGTTACGAAGTGCTTCATTATCAGTTTGAAGTTCAAAGAACAAGTCTAACCAATTTGCAAGACAAAATTCATAAAGTGGAGAGTGATTAAAACTATAAAAACTAATAATCAGTAAAACACAATGAAAGAGATTTTGATTAAATTAAATAGTAAATTTGTAAGATAAGCAATCTAAAAATCACCATTCTATCAGTGATACATCAGAAATTCCATGGATAACGGAGCT